ATATAAGTAATAGGCGCATATTTACACATATGTAAAGGGCCGTTTACATACGACTTTTGTTTCGCGATGCTTCAGAATTCTGCTTTTACAGATAAGTTCAATACGTGATTTAATATGAGTGTTGCTACATATAATGCGAGGAAAGCAAAACAAAGCCAAACCATAGCCAATCTCAACTTTCGCGCGCTTTGGCACTGAGCTGTTTACATGTATGCATCTCGTCTCGCGCTTGCATTTGCATTTACAGACAAAAATAAGGTAAATATGAGCTATTACTGCTAGTATTATTGCATATTATTATATTGTTATCTATTTTAAGCTTATAAAATATGAATGAAAAGAGGAACGTAGAAGCTGTCAAAGCGTTTAATGTAGCATACCTTCCCTACGCTTCAGGCTTTGTTGTTAAAGCTCGAACAGTCAAGCAAAGCGAGGAAAGTCGTATGTAAATGGCCCTTTACTGTTTGGTCGAGCTTCTTTTTCGATTTGTGGCGTGCTCTTTGATGTTGTCACCCAACATCACTTGTAGTTTTACGCCGAGGTTTGCCATTGCCTGCAGAGGGGCGATCGTTATTAAAAAAACCTATTTGTTTATTTTTTTTTGATGTTGGTATGAACCGGGCCTGAACCCAGGCCTTGCGTAATGGTAGCGCGCGCTGCTAACTACTATACCAATATTACATAGTTAATACTGCTTCACTGCGCCTTAAACGTATTTATTTTCTGTTTGATACCCGTATTGTAATATTTCATTTGATTTATCAATTTAATTGAATAACATTTTTCCACACAGGTGGCAACCCTCCTCAAAAATATCTTAGGCAGTAGACTTTCCTAAACCTCTTCAGTTTGATACCCATATTGCAATATTCAATATACCATATCAATTAAATTTCATAAATTATAATTTTCAAACAGGTGGCAACCCTCAGCAAAAATATTTTCGGCTGTAAGCCTTCTTAAACCTCTTTCTTATGACAGCCATATTGCAATATTTACTTTGTCTTATCAATATACTTAGACCGAAATTTTCAAACAGGTAGCAACTCTCAAATTTTTTTCTCTTTATATTTAAAGTTAGACCTCTAGCAATTCATTGGTGAAAACTGCATTCAATTGCATGCATTAGTTTTCGAGTGATGCGCATACAAACACTCAGACAGACAAAAATTCTAAAAATTGGTGATTTGGCTTCTGTTGCTCTAATAAAAATCCCCCATATTAATTTTTCTTTAAAATTTACATTGGCCTGTTACAATTTTATTATATGTATATATTACACTAAAAATAGCAAAAACATAATTTCTTAATATATTTTACATTTCCAAAAAAAATAGACTTGCATCACATGTTCCACGAGACATCCGAAAATGGGTGAAACAAATGTCATCTACATATGTAGATATAATTTAGTGGCTTTAAAACAGTGAACTATTTCGTCACATTTCTCCTTCGGGACTACGGTTTCCAGACGAACTGATTTTACTAGTACAGTACTGACTTTTCAACTCGTACTGATTTTGTTCATGGCTTATGGTGATTTCGTTTCTACAAAAAATGTTGCTTTCTCATCGCCCTCTGCTTAGTGTTTGTGCGTAGAGGGCAAAGGGAATGTTGCATTTTTCGGTAGGGACGAAAACGGCATTAATTTTCAATTGTTTATTTATTTATTTGTTCAGTCTACAGAAAAATATCTTACTGACTAATTACAGTTAATTGAATACAGTAAAAACATCAAGTTTAAATTCTACAATATTAACATTGAAATAGATAATATCATTATAAGCATTACATAATCGGGCACATCGTACAAGAGGTTCATTCACAGAAGAGATGGTTTTGTAAGTTGGATGACAAAATATACGACTATATACCCTAGCAACTTACGTCTATCTGTGTAATGGGGAGGACCATTAGGCCAATGCATTTTGTACAAGGCGAACTTTGTAAAGACTTTCTGCACCTTTTCAATTTTTATGGAATGGACCTCATAATAAGGGTTTCATACCAACGAGCAGTATTCGAGGCGACTTCTACTAACCCCCCTACTATGAATCCATACGATACACGATAAACGCTTGCATTCTGTTATGCCGTATTACGAATTAAATTCTAGCGTATAAAATTCGATAGCTACCGTTTATCGTATAGCGTTAAATTTTGGTATTGCCATACGATAGCTATCGTATCAGCTGTTCAATTCCATACGCTTGCAAGCAGTTGTCAATTTTTATACGATACGATACAATTTAACAAAAATAAAATAATGTAAGTATTAAAATGAATAAAATGAGTTTATGGAAACGATCTGGTCAAAATATTGAAATTTTTCAGGCCGAAAATTGCGATAAAAAACATCGAGTTGAGCGTATTGCTTCTCCGAGGGGTACGGTTTAGGTATTTGTACAATGATTTTAGATTGTTGTGCCCAAACGCGTGACCCGAATCTAAAAACTTTAATATACACATACACAAAGGATTTAACTTTTCATTTAAAACAAAGATTTCGAATTTCTGAGCACTAGTTTATTGATAAATACGGTTTGAAGTATGCACATTTTTCTAAACACAATAGAAACCGTAGGTTGGACTAATTCAAGTAACGCCTTATTGCCAACACTCTGTTGGTATGATCCCTGAGCAAGAAATCTCACAGTTATGAAAGTCTTTAATATATTTGGGAGGACGGCTTTTTTGCCGTGCGCGCAAGTCGATCTCCACTTCTGTTAGAACATACATACATATGTATGTATGTACATAACAGCTTCTTTCGAAAGTCGAAAGTTTCTCTGAAATCTAAAGAATTTTTTTCAATAATCTATACATAGTATAAAGTAGGGATGGGTGGCAAACATCTCGCGCGCAGCAGCGCGGGCACGCAGGTGCTAGATGCGGGGTAAAAATTTAAAACCGAAAGGGTTAGCAATAGCCGTGTACGTGTATTAACCCATTTTATGCAATGTATATTGCCAAAGGCTATTATATTCACCTCTTTGTTTATAGAGGAACAATTTCTAACTATATTTGTAGTCTATTTATTAAAAATAATTCAACATCATAAATGCCGACCAATTTAATTTTTTTATTAATAAATCAATAAAGTTTAAATTGATTATACATATGTAAAAAATAGTATGTACTAATTCATAATGGCGAACAAAAACGTGTTAACGATCTTGCTTGCGCATGTGTTCGTAAATAAGAGAGCCGAGCGCTGCTACTAGGCTCAGTCGGTAGAAAACCGTCATATAAAAATGTTTTGCGCATGATTGTCCTTTTTTCCAAGCAAATTTCTAAAGAAAAATTATCTGCGCAAGAACAACCCCTCCCTTTGAAAATTTGCGACCAGCTGAACGCTGACAATGCAAAAGTGAATTACAAAACAGCTTATATGCACGCAAGCAAGTCGGTACTCACCACCAATGTTGCCATTTCTGTTTCTGCCGTCCCGCCAGATTAATAAACCAAAATCGCTAGAATCCTGCTAAATCATTTAAATTCTGTAAACTCATGAAAAAAGTTTCTTTTATAATTTAGCAGTTAAACTTTATTTGATCAAATTAGAGATCATATGTTTATAAAAAACCACCAGTTTTTTTTAACAAAAACAAAATTGGAACTTCGTTATATGGTTTTATAACCAGTGTTGGGATTTTGTGGCATTAAATAAAGTATAAAAATTGGTCATAAGAAAATCGTTTTCGTTTTCGTGACTGTTGAGCTTGTTGATTTAATCAAAATGTATTTACCAAAGTGTGATTGAATTTGACATTTCTCTCGTAAGAACGATCCTATAATGTCAAATTGGAAAAATTTTTTTGTTTGTGTTTTTTGACATTTTAGTACCTTAAAAGAGAGCCACACTGAGTTGTCAATCACACATTGTTTAATACACCTTGGATGAGGGCCTAATTCTGCACCACGTCGAATTTCCGTCGTAGTTACGAAAAAAGAACAGTGGCAACCTTGGCATTCTAGTCTCCGAAGTGTTATTCGAACATTACGAAAATTCAAGTTTGTATGTATTCCGCATCACTTCGTAACAGTTATTCGTAGGTATTTTTTCCCTAAAGAAAATCAACGTCGGAATCTATTTAAATTTTTCACATTTAAGTACTGTGAATTAAAATGTAAGTATAAAATTGTACAAATACTTTATGCGTTTGTATTTATATGAAATTTATGCATAATAGGGCGAGGACCACCAATCCAAGCCAATATGAATTGTTGGTAGAGCTACTCACGCCGCTAACGAGCTGAATGCTTTGGGACCACCATGCAGGGACTGGGCAGGGTGGCGAAAGGTTATATATACAATTGATGACAATTTGCTTTAAATATTTATTAACTTCGCGTATCTTTTGGTTTCAGACATGGCTTGATTGGAAGAGCTACGTTAAAAAGAAGCTTTCCCACAACAAAATGGAGTCTCGAGCTACTGGAGGGGGTAGTTTTAATAAAAGGCCCATAAGCTCCTTAGAAGATAAGGTGATTTCGCTGACCGGGCTAGAAACTTGCACCTCAGGCCTTCAAGCTGGGTTAAGCTTCGGTGGAAGGCAGGTAGTGGAAGCAAGTAGTACCAGTAGTCAAGCTGCCAATAGCCAAGCTCTTGCCACAAATACCAGGGAAGAAGTTATTGAAACAAATGCTACAGAAAACGGAAGCCAAGTTGAAAACTGCGACACTGCTCCCACTCCTAGAAGAAGACGACATATAGCCTCGACCGCTGAAGACATAGAAAACTGCGAAATAGCTCCCACCCCTAGAAGGAGGCGGCATGCAGCGTCCACGGCTGAAGATTCGCGAAATCTTTTGAGTGAGCAAATAAGCATGCAGCGAGAGTTCTATAAAGACCAATGCGATCATAATTCGCAAGCGTCAAGTGGCCTTAAAAGAGTTTATCGCGGCATAGAAAAACTGTGTGAAATAGAAAAAGAAAAACTGAAGGAATTTAAGCGACATAATGCTGTCAAAGAAATTGCTTAAGGGAACGCAATAAATTAAAAAAGAAGCGCTAGAATTAAAAGCTATAGCACTCGAATTAAAACAAGCAAAATTTGAGGGAGTGAGAGATGTAAATATTAAACGTATATTTTTAGTTGACACACGTTTTCATTTATTTCCAGATAAGATATATTCTAGGTAAATACTATGTACATGTAAAGCTTTGCTTATGGTTTGGTTTCACTCACAACGCAAAAGTTGCAAGAATTCTTTGGCGTGTTCGTTCAGCATCACTCCGAAGATTCTCAAATTCCGGGCCATAATCGGGCTCAATTTCTTCCACATCATCTCTCTCAGGCAACGGTTCAAATTGGTCATCGGGGAAGTGAATACATATGTTGTGGAGAGCACAAGCTACGTTTACAATTTGGCAGGCCTTTAGAGGAACATAATTTAAAGCTCGTTCCCCTAAAAAACATCGGAATCGGCTTTTCCACACACCAATTGTTCTTTCTACCACACTTCGTGTTTTTGAATGGTGATCATTGAAAATTCTTTCTGGCGACCCTGCAGCTGCACTTCTATAAGGCGTCATAAGCCAAGGTTCGAGTGGGTAGCCGGCATCGCCTAGAAGAATATTTGTTAATATTTATTTGTAAGCTACATGGTACGGATTTTTACTACCAAGAAGCCACGTGTTAGTATTTCCTTCTCTAAATTGCCGCTCGAAATGCTTCCTACCACTACTTAACTTCCAAATATGGCTATCATGGTTACATCCTGGATACCGTGCATCTACTGCTCTTATTCTCAACTTATGGTCGCATATCTAAAATAAATTAAAACGTTATATCAAACTTACTATCATTACATTAAGACTATACCAGCCTTTTCGGTTGAAAAATAGAAACGTCTCTGACGAAGGTGCTGTTCGTTTAACGTGAGTACCGTCAACACACATTACTACTCCTGGAAACATTGCCTTTGAATAAAAATCTTGTTTTGCTTCTACTACTTCCGACTCGTCCATAATAAAATTTATCCAGATTGGGCAAAGCTTCCTTTCAAAAACATTTAATAGCAGCGATATTGTCTTCGATACTGTGGGCTGCGTCATTCCGACATCATAGTCCTTACCAACTCCGTGTTGGTAGCCTCCTTCTGCAAAAAAAACCTTAAGAGAGCTACCAAGCGGCTCAGACTCGTTATTGATGAACTCTTTGTCGGGCCACCGAACTCTTCATCCAATATTCCTAGCAAATATTAAAGGCAATCTTTGCTTATCCGAAAGTTCTTTGTAAATATGAAAGAAACTTAGTTGTAATTTTTAATTGTTCATATCTGTCTTACACTTACGCCATAACATTCAACTGAAAGGGATCGCAGGCGTCTCTAAGTTGTCGTCGTTTTATATTTTCTGCGTTACTCCTTGAATATTCATCTTCTTCGAATGATAAAATACCAGCAGCAATGGATTCCATAATTTTTAGCTTTTTTTATTATTGCTACAACGTTTTCTTTGCTTTTTTCTTAAAATAACTTATTCTTGCAACTGCTTTCTATTTTCAAAATAAGCTTTCACTTGAGAGACGTAAATGACAAATAACTTCGAAAATTCGAACAACTTATACATCTCCGTCGGAGAATGGAATGCAAACAATTTTTTCTTTGGAACTTAATTCGGAAATCGGGACTTTTCCCGACGGGGTGCAGAATGTAGCCCGTAATGTTGATTTTTTGGACTGCAAAATGTAAATGTAAAAAATTTGCAATCATTATGAATAAAATCGCTAAAAACAAGCTGAGTGGAAAAGTCGTTAAAATGGCAACACTGCTCAGCACGGTTGGCCAGTAGTTGGGCGTGGCTCATTCTCTGCCAATGCCTGCTGATGAATATGTATGTAAATTAATAGCATGGTTGCCATATCGCGCTATCATAAGCTGGTTAGCTAGTACTTGCAAAAGTCTTTGAATATTCACGTAGTGACGCGAAAAATAGCTTTGTTGAAAGATTTTGATGTTGTCTAGCATAGAAAAAGGAATTGAAAAAATACAACTTTGACTTCTGTACTTTCGGTGCGTATTAACGGTATAACATACTATGTAATTTTTTAAGTTTTTTCTTTCGGACTTATAATTTTATGAGACTATGTAAATCCACCAATTAGTTTTAAAATTTTTGCGTTGTATTTAAAATCACTTTGAGTTTATAATTATTTGCAGCAGTATATATGTAGGTATATACATACACTTCACTTTGCATCGTTAAAAATTAAAACCTTCAAATCATCAAAAATATATAGATATGCATACATGCAGCTTTTTTCATGTTAGCTGAGCCGAAGATACCTAAAAATATTCGACAACTATATAATACTATTAGAATACCTTTCGAAATCTTTTTATACACATAAGTATGTACATACATATGCATTGTTTCAAATAAAATATATATCTTGATTGAATTAAAGTGAAAATTCAATTGGTTCTATAAAAGTTTAAAATCGTTATTAGTGCGTTACTATTTATTTTGGTTTTTGATAAATACAACAATATTTATATCTTGGACCGATCACTAATGTAGTATAGATGCATATTAAATTTTACTGAAAAAAAATGTTGATGTTTTGATTTGCCATGGGGTCTCAAATTCGTGAGTACTCACATATACTATATATACTCTCATTCCGATCACACATACAGATGCAATTCGCGCAAAATTTTCTGTTTCACCCCCGGGCATATTTACCTCACCTCTTCTACCCAACGGTTTGCACATTTGCCCGCGGTTTGCACGTTTGGGTATTTTGCCCGTATGTGCACATTATGCCCATCGCTAGTATAAAGGATGTATATAACAGCTTCTTTCGAAAGTCGAAAGTTTCTCTGAAATCTAAACCATTTTTTTAATAATCAATTGGGCAATTCACAAGGTGTTGTGAAGTATATTTTCCTAACAAAAGTTGTGTTAAAACACGACGGTTGTGAACACCTGTTACGATTATTTATTATATCTCAGCACTTAACCTCACATAACACCGAATAAACATAGGTTGCAGAGTTGTATCGTCATGTGTTATTTTTCTTCACAAAACAATAACAACATTTTTACAACTGTCATGAAATATCATGACTTCACGACAAACACGACAAATACGACACCTTGTGAATTGCCCATATATGTACATAGTAAGGGTATTCATCAAACCTTATAAATGCATTGTAAACCGTATAAACTTATAATTGTGTAAACCTTATAAATGAACTGTCAAAATTTGTATGGAAACTCGTTTACACATTTCTGATAAATTTATCCAGCGATTTCACTGAATAAACTTGATAAACTGAAGACAATGCAACTCTGTCGCAACTCTAGCTATGTTTTCTTAGGCAATAATCGGGATCCGCATACAAATTTTGCACGCAAATTCAACAACGATATGATCCTGATAGAGATCTGGTTCAATTATTATCCCGTCTGTTTGTTTTGTTTCACTGATAATTCGCAAAGTTTGGTAGCCGTGACAAATGAATTCATACACAAACAGACATTCTGCCATTGTTTCTTATAACTTGCTTCAAATAAATAGCCTTTATGTTATATGTACATTTATTTAAATAGATATCTCGTAAATATAATTTTTTCCAATTTAGTGAGGTAGTTTCTATAATTTCTTTATCCCCGTGCTAGTAGTATAAAGTTAGTGACACTGCGCTTTATAACCAAAGAAAACACGACTATTGTCGCATGTGTAAACGAAAAGAGAGTGTGGGTCGTTCATGTAACAGAGTGCATAAACTTATAAGATTATCTGCTTGATAAAGTTATCGGTTTAGATGAATACCACTAGTATAAAGGAAAGTCGAGATTCTTTGTACGCGGTAATCTCGAAAACTACTGAACGGATTTTTACAAAATTTTCTCTAATATACTCTGTATCGACTGGAGGGGGATCTGTTTCTACTTAGAATTTTAATAGAGTTGCCACCTGTCTAAAAAACTATAAGATCCGCACCGTTCGTTGGATTACAAAAGATGAGGTGTCAAATGAAAGGGATTGGCCTCTAGAAAGCTCTTATTATTTTTTTTAATAGTCACTGAAAAGACTTAGCCTCTGGATGTGTGATAATGTACTATTTTTCTGAGTAGGGTTGCCGCCTGTTTAAAAACTACAAGATCTTCACCGTCCGTTGGATAAAAAAATTAGATACCAAATGAAAGTGCATGGCCTTCGCATGTACGAAAACTTTAATTTTTTTTAGTAGGGTTGCCACCTATTTAAAATTACCATCTTCTATACATCGTATAAAGGAAAGGCGAGATATTTTAACCACGCTACTGAACGGATTTAGACAAGAAACGAAGTACATGATGACATATGATTTCTTTCTAAATGTACATATACCTATATCGTCTTTAAAGTACAAAACCGCGTATAACGATAATGCAAAACCGCGTAGGTAAGGTCACCAAGATTTTACCGGAGAGAGTAAAAATATATGCTACTCTTGATCAGCGGTATAACAACTATGCTGTTATTTTGCAGTACATGGTCTAATATCGATATATTGGTATGAATAGATAAGGCTTTATGCCTGGAGCTTCCTATGAGCAAATCTAGTTTTTGGCACAAATGTCAGTTACGCGGTTTTGCAAAACGACGATAGGCGGTTTTGCACTTTATATGCACCGGCTAGTTAAGAAATAAAACTTATTCCAGTTACTTACATTATCGAGTTCACCTCCAGAGGTTTGGAAGCATCTTTCAATTGCCTTCTTACTGTAGTTTCATAAATTTATTAATTTAAATTTATGTAAAACGCAATTGAGGTTGAAGGAAACATGTTTTTCTTAATTTTGTATGGCTTATGGGAAGTTTGCGCGACCTTTAGGTATAAAATGTTTGCTTTGAAAATATTTTAGCTAGACAAGAACAGCTGGTTCATTTAAATTCACAACAAATGGTACACAAATACTACTGTCATTCACAATAGTACATCTATCTGGCGTGTGGAAATCATAATACGAAAACTCATTTTATACGATACGCTTGCAAGCCTTTATCGTCTATCGTATGAAAACTCATAATAAGGGGGTAAGGCAACATAAAGAGACTTTAAGGTGTGACGATCTTTAAAATCACCAGTGTTTTTCTAATGAAACCGATCATTGCAAATGATTTGGAAACGATATAAACAATATGCTTGGAGAAGGATAACTTGGAGTCAAAAATAACACCTAGATCTTTCATCTCATCACAGCCATTTAGGAAACAGTTGTTTAATTTGTAATTAAACATTCAAGTAGTTGATTTTCTAATGAATGTTACCACGAAGCATTTCTTAACATTTAGATGTAAATGGTTTGTTGTGCACCATTGTTCTAAAGCATCTAAATCTGACTGCTGATTGTTACTGTCTGATAAATTTTGTACCTCTAAGAGGAGTTTTATGTCATCTGAACATTAGGCATTTTGCAAACTTAAAGTGGTTCGCCAAATCGTTTATAAAGATGATAAATAGCAATTGGCCACAGTCTATTCCTTGTGGAATGCCCGACCACGCCTCGTCTAAGGTTCTGAATTTAGCAGAGCCAATTTTAACAAAAAAAATCTGTTATCTAGAAAACTGGTGAAGAATTCTAAAAGTTTCCCCGTGACTCCATAATGTTTCAATTTGTATAGCAAAATTGAATGATCAACTTTGTCAAACGCCTTCGAGAAGTCTGTATATATTACGTCTAATTGAGCATGGTTATTGCATGCATTTCTTATTTTATTTGTGGCTAAAGCTATATTAGTGCAAGTCGATTTACCAGGCATAAATCCATGTTGACAGTTGTAGATAACTATGCTGACGTGATTGAATAGCTTTACTTGAAGTATGTGATCGAATAGTTTGGCTATTGTACTTTGTTTAACGAGGGGCCTATAGTTGCACACATCGTTGCGGTCCTCTGATTTGTAGATAGGCTCAATTGAACAAAAATCATCCACGAGTCGATAAAAGCGCCCTTATTTAAACATTTATTGAAAAAGAGTGTAAGGGGATAGGCTACGGTATCATAGCAAGTTCTTAAGAATTGCGGAGAAAATCCTTCACAATCTATTTTAAAGCTAGGTTTTAGTGCCGAAATCGCAAGCTGAACATTATCCACACTAATATCAAAGGTGGTAATGTTTTTTAATGGATGAGGGGTTAAAACTGGATATATTGTAGTGTCATATTTTCCATAAACTTTCTGTGAATATTTCCGATCGCTGGTCCCTTCGCACTCCCCTCTTGACGCACTTTATTTCCAATTAAAGAAATGCTTAGGTGCAGTTTTAAATTGTTCAAAATTTTAGTTTATTCCCAAGCTTTAAAAGTTACAAGGATTCGCTGAATATATATTTACTCGGCTTCACACAATAACAGCGTTCAGTTTAGTCGCATATGTACACATACATATAGTCAGTCAATAAAGTTTAGGTGCAGCGAAATTAAAGAAAATTCTGCAAAATTTCATTCAAATATTGCACTTTTTATTTACGCTCTCTAGAAAAAATTTGAGTATGCAGTTTTTTTTTTTAGCCCAGTCAATTTTAGTATAATAAAGTGCAAGTATGAGGAAGCTAGGACTTACCATTGATTTTTGGGAAATTTTTTTGTTGAATGTGTCGCACAGTTTTTCCATATAAAAAAATTATCAAACATTATTTTATATGGAGAAAATGAGCGACACCTTCAACAAAAAAAAATTCCTAAAAATCAATGGCAAGTCCTAGCCACCACAAACTTGCACTTTGTTATACTAAAGTTGAATGGGCTAAAAAACTGCATACTCAATTTCTTTCTAGAGAGCGTAAATAAAAAGTGCAATATTTGAATGAAATTTTGCGGAATTTTCTTTAATTTTGCACAAGGTTTGGAACCCTGATTTTTGGGTTTTTTGTTGTAGAATTGACCATATTCTTATAAAAAATGATCAAAAAATAAAATATTTAAAAAATGGTTGCCCGTATTGTAAAAAATTCGCTGTACCTAAACTTTATTGACTGACTGTATATACTAGCGTTCACAAATAATTTAATCAGATTGGCAAAATATGAACTTAAAAATTATACAAAATACTAGGACGCGTGCGCGTTGACCGAGGTTGGTAGCTGAACTAACTTTCGTCGTCATTTTTCACCATGATGGTAGGCGGCCGTGCGCGCTCGGTAATCATTTTCGGAATTGACGTAGGTCAACTGCCAAACTGCTGCAGCCAAGGATTGCACGCACGGCCGTCGTATTGCGCTTTAAGCGGCGGCTTTAACATCCTCCCCGCCCTGCAGGAATGCGCTACTTAGGGTCTCCTGCAGCTCTTTCAGCACGCGGATCGCGTTGCCCAGGGCGCGGTTAGTGGTGCGGCCCTGATAGTTGGCCGTTTGCTGGCCTTGGGGGTTGCGCGCAATCGTGCGTCGGGCGGTCTTCTTGCGCGGCGGTTGCGATGCCTGATTGTGCATATTGTGCGCCTGGTTGCGCGGGTTCTGCGCCTTTTGCTNCGTTGCCCAGGGCGCGGTTAGTGGTGCGGCCCTGATAGTTGGCCGTTTGCTGGCCTTGGGGGTTGCGCGCAATCGTGCGTCGGGCGGTCTTCTTGCGCGGCGGTTGCGATGCCTGATTGTGCATATTGTGCGCCTGGTTGCGCGGGTTCTGCGCCTTTTGCTCGGGCTACTCCCAACCGTTGTGGCGGCTTCATCGCCTTGAAGGCCGAGCACGTCCGCAAGGCGTGGCACCGGTGGCATAGTCGGCATTGCAGGCAGTTGTCCGTTTCCGCCGTTGGAGCCAGGGGGCATGCCTTCCTTGATGCCATGATGTCTTCGATATGGAAGTAGAAGCAAAGGCAGAGAAAGGAGAAGTACTTGGGTACAATATTTAAACGGGAAGTTAAGACCCTTAATATACAGAAGGAAAATATGTATAGAATTATTTATTGTGCTTTTGGAGGGAAGCACAGTTTGACAAGTGGCCGCGTGATAACTCCATTTTGTGTACGGATTTCTACGACACGTATGTGGTTATCAGGGCCGTGGCGAACGATTTCCATTCGTCCCAATCGCCACTCGGTGGGGGGAGCGAATCTTCTTTGATCACGACGAGGTCGCCTGGCTGAGGATCGCGTTGTGGGCAGGGTTCGGATTTGCCTCATTTTAGCCCTCGCTCGCTCGTTAGTTTGCTCTGAGCTAGCGCAACTCACGAGCAAAACGCGAGGCTGTTTGCAAATGAGCACTCGTTAAGTACGAGAGCACGCGCTGAGTGCCCGCGAGCGAGTAAGCACACGCGGGCAGCGCAAGAGTAGAGCGGCAAGCAAACGAGGGCCTCATTAGCTCTGCCCTCGCGAGGGCGTCGTTGCGAGCGAGGTACTCAATTGCAGCATCAGACGAGCGAGGCGAGTAAACGAGCGAGNGTACGAGCGCACGCGCTGAGCAGCCAGCGAGCGAGTAAGCAAACGAGGGCAGCGCAAGAGTAGAGCGGCAAGCAAACGAGGGCCTCATTAGCTCTGCCCTCGCGAGGGCGTCGTTGCGAGCGAGGTACTCAATTGCAGCATCAGACGAGCGAGGCGAGTAAACGAGCGAGGCAGATGAGGCGTGTAAACGAGCGTGGCAAATGAGGCAAGCAGATTAGACAGGCAAACGCGTTGTTTGGTCGGCAAAAATGTATGGGATAAAAATTGCAGCAACTAAGAATTTCGAGTAAAGGATTGTATGCACGCATGCAGATATGTATATACATACATATGTATATACACATATGTTTGTATATATTTATGTATATATTCTCATGCACAGAAGAATAGATTCGTGCTATTTTGACCAGTTTTATCTACTAGGTAGGCACATATGTGCATACATATCTATGTAGGTATAATGTTTTTAATGTTCAATAATTTCTTATAAAATTTCAACTTATACACTTAGGTCTCTTTTTATGCGGTTCTTTTTTATGCGGATTTGAATTTATGCGGTTTTTCAAACACTTTTTTCGCTGTAGCGATTTTGCTTTTTTGAGAGCTTTTATTACTTTTTTTCAATATGTAAGGGGCAATGCTTCTGATAAATAATTTGTCTTTGTATTCTTACATACAAGTAATTACTAAGTAATTTGACTAAGTAACTATGTTACATATGTATAAATGAGAATATAATATTTATAAAAATCATTATTTTGTCTTTCATTTCATAAATGAGTAGGACATCAGCATTTTCAAATGAATATTCCTGGTTTAGCCCCATACATATATATGTATGTAGGATAATACAAACTACTATTTGATAATTAAGGCTGGTCCACATAGAACTTTCGCGTTGACTTTGTAGTTGGCGTTGGTTTGACAGAACGCAAGTTAAAAGTATGCGTTCTACAATGAAGCTTGGCAGAGACTACTTTGGCCACTAAATTAACATATTAACAGAGATACATTAATATTTCATATTATATTTCTTGCCTTCATTTGATTAAAAGTAAAAAACATTTCATTTAATTTTATTTATTTGCAACAGCTGGCGACCGACGCAGCGATCGTTCTGCTTTGTGTTGGCCTTAGCGTTGCCAAATTTTGGAAATGTGGACGGCTGCTTTGAAATTCGACGCCAACGCAACGCCAAAGTTGTATGCGAACCGGTCTCTATTCTTTGTTTACGCAAATTTTCCCATGTCTACATATCCATATATACATGCATACATATGTACATATGTCCTTGAACAACAGGCCACAAGTAAATTTTTTCACCAAGGACTATATTTCATTCAGGTATACAGCATAAGTGCTACATGTAGCAAACTATTTCGGGGGTGTTAACAAGTGCTTACTTGTTTTTTGTTTCTGCGGCACAAACGATTATAATATCTTCGTTACTTACTTTTCTCTGTAAAGACAAAATACATGCATATGTACATACATACAAACATATATAAATATGCATGTTGTGTGTACACAAGTATGAATATAACTCTAAAAAATAATTCATTCCATAATCTATGCTTACCTATGTAATCAATTTTATTTGTTGTTTTAAATGCTGCCCTAATATAATACTTTACATACATATATATATGCATATGTACAAACAATTATTAACTACTTTCGTACATAATCTATTGACATACATTCCCACACTCGCACACAGCCTCGCTCGTTTAATAGGAGTGTGAGCAAACAAGCAGCGCTCGATCGTTTGGCGAGCGAGCCAAACTTCGGGTGCCTCGCCTCATTGCTGCTACGAGTACGAGATGCGAGCGCCTCGTTGTCTGCGAGGCATTGAGTAGGAGTTTGCTCGCTCGCTCGCTCGAACTCCGAGTTTTTGCCCACCCTGGTTGTGGGGTTTTCCACTTGTATCTCTTCTGAAGATCTTTGAGGTAATCTTCTTTCCAGCGGCGGCTAAATTGGTGGTGAAGTGCTTTGACTTTCTCCCACCGGTTTAGTAGGGGGAGGTCTTCCGCATCAGACTCAGGAATGGCCAATAGCGGTGCACCTCGAATGAAGTGACCCGGGGTAAGTGCTGTCATATCAGCTGGGTCTTGGGAAAGTGCGTACAGAGGCCTCGAATTGAGGACTGCTTCAATTCGCACCATAAGCGTCATGAATTCTTCAAAGGTAAACTTGTGGGTTGCAGCGGTTTTCTTTAGATGGATTTTAAAGCTTTTCACTGCAGATTCCCACAAGCCGCCCATGTGGGGGGCGCTGGGTGGTATATATTGCCAGTTGATGCCTTGAGGGGCATATTTTTTTACAATGCCTGCGGAACATTCGTTAAGGAATTTAACGAAGTCGCGTTCGGTAGCGCGTTGGGCGCCTATGAACGTTTTTCCATTGTCGCTCATCATTTTTGAGGGGAAACCTCGTCTGCCAACGGAGCGGGCGAATGCTGCTCGAAAAGCCTCGGTTGTAAGATCCGAGCATAGCTCGAGACGCACTGCCTTTGTGGAAAAACAGACAAAAACTGCAACGTATGCCTTGATAAGGGTGGTAGATCTTAGCACCGATGCTTTAATTTGGAATGGCCCTGCAAAATCTACTCCAGTTTTAGAAAAGNCGAATGCTGCTCGAAAAGCCTCGGTTGTAAGATCCGAGCATAGCTCGAGACGCACTGCCTTTGTGGAAAAACAGACAAAAACTGCAACGTATCCCTTGATAAGGGTTGTAGATCTTAGCACCGATGCTTTAATTTGGAATGGCCCAGCAAAATCTACTCCCGTTGTGGAAAATGGGAGTGAGAAACTGCAGCGCTCAGGGGGTAGAGCGGCCATTATTTGGGTGCGTGTTTGTTGCTTGTAAAGCGTGCACACTTTGCATTGAAAGATGCATTTTTTAATTAGAGGTTTTAGCTTTGGTACGTAGTACTCTTGCCTTACCATTTGGAGCATTAATCGTGTTTCTGCGTGAAGAAGCAGCGAGTGTAAAAACTCCAAATATAGCTGGCAGAACCTCGATTCGGTAGGAAGAATTATTGGGTGCCTTTTAATATAGCTCAATGTGGAATGTGCTAGTCGGCCATTAACGCGTAGAAATCCGTCTTTGTCCAACGAAGGATTGAGAACAAGAGTGTGGCTTTTTATCTTGTAAAGCGCTTTTTTCGCTCGGAAAATGGCGTGATTGCGCTGCGTTGATAAGACGAATTTTTGCATATTGAAATTCGTTATGTGTCAGATGTGGATAGGTGATTGTAGCTAACCCCTTTGATTTGTTGCGGGCATTGCTCACGAAGCGGAACATGTACGCAGTCACGCGGAGTGCTCGAGAGAGAGAAGAAAAGCGATCAAGAAAACCGACCTCTTCTTCGAGCGCGTGATATACCTCCCCCTTGTGCTTTTCTGGTGGAGATGCACTGCATGCCTTTGACCTTGGCCATGCATCCATGTGGCAAGAGAGCCATTTTGGTCCGTGCCACCAGAGTGGGGAATTTGCCAAGTCCTGCGGTTTGCAACCACGGGTGCCGAGGTCGGCTGGATTGTCTTGGCTGGCAACATGGCGCCATGTACCGGTTGGAAGATATTCCCGGATTTGGGAGGTACGATTGGATACATACGTCTTCCATGTACATGGTGGCTTTTCAAGCCAAGCTAGCACAATCTCTGAATCTGACCATAAGAATGTGTTGCACGATTCCAATTTGAGCTGTTTTCGAACAGTTGCGACCAGTTTTGCGAGTAAGACTGCACCACACAGCTCCAGGCGTGGCAAGCTTACCGTCTTCAATGGTGCGACTTTGCTTTTTGCAACCAAGAGAGTGGAATATCTTTGGTTGCTAGCATCTACGCGGATGTAAATCGCAGCGCAATATGCTTTTTCCGAGGCATCGCAAAACCCGGGATTTGGGTATCTTGTCCCGGAGTGAAATGAACCCATCGAGGGATCTCGATGTAGCAGGCGGCTGGCAAATTTTCTGCGAACTGTTGCCATTTTGCTAGCTATGGGTTTGGCACATTCGTCCCAACCAACGCCATCCAGCCAAAGTTCTTGAAGCAGAATCTTTGCTTGAATCATCACTGGCGACAGCCATCCTGCCGGGTCAAAAAGTTTTGCGACAGAGGATAAGATTTGTCGTTTTGTGACGGCATTCGATGTCGATGCAGGCAGAATGGTGTAGGAAAATTTATCTGTAAGTGCGTTCCCATTTATACCAAGAGTTTTGGTTGTGGAAGCGCTCTCAAATATCAAAAAGTTGGAGTCGAGAATATCCTTATAAATTTTTCTAAAATGGCCGGATGATTGGCCATTAGTTTCTTAAGTATGAAACCAGCTGACTTAAGCGCTTTGATCACTTGAAAAAGTGATTCAGTGGCGTTGTCAATATCATGACTTCCGGATAGGATGTCATCCACACACGTTTCGGTTTTAAGTATTGTGGCAGCCAAGGGAAATGTCGCTATCGTATCATCTGCTAATTGATGCAGGGTACGGATAGCGAGGTATGGTGCACAATTAACGCCGAACGTTACGGTTTTAAGATTATAATCGGTCACAGGAGAGTCAGCCGACGTGCGAAACAAGATTCGCTGAAAATCTTTATCGTCCTCGTGGATGAGTATTTGACGATAAATTTTTTCAATGTCGCCATTGAACACGAATCTGTGCATTCGCCACTGCAGAATAAGCAGCATGAGATCTGGCTGGAGTGTGGGACCAGTGTGCAACACGTCATTCAGGGATTTTCCTGAACCAGATGTTTTGAGGCGTTGTATACCACACGAACTTTGGCGGTTACCTTATCTGGATTGACGACCGTATGATGTGGCAAATAGAACGAGAAGTATTTGCCATTAGCTATTATCTCGCATGGCTTCGTGTGCTCCATATGACCGAGGTCGAAATATTCTTGCAACATATTATTGTACGTTGTGGCTAAGTCGCATTTTTTTCTGAAGCGATCGCTCCATACTAAAAAAACTGCTGAAGTGCAGCAGACCGAGAGTGGCCCACACAGCTTTTTTGGAAATTCTTCCTTGAATGGAAGTCGCACAATGTATCGACCGTTTGGGGCACGAGTCGTTGTTGTTGCATACACATGCTCACATGCCTGATCTTCAGGTGAAATTTGTGGAGGTTGTGGAATCTCCTCCTCTTCCCAAAACTTTCGAAGCTGAGAGCTGAGTGTTGCATTCGAGCACTTCTCTACTTGTGTCGAGAATACCACCACATTTTTGGTTATTGGACCACTGAGAATCCAGCCAAATATTGTTCTTTGCGCAAGTATAGGGGCGGAAATCTTTTGTATACCTTCCAGCAGGATTTGTGGAAGTATATCGCTGCCGATTACCATATCAGTTTGAGCTGGTATGTGGCAACTTGGGTCAGCAAGTTCAAGGATCTTGAATCGTTGCCAGTTTTCACGGCAAATGGTGAATGTAGGCATGTGCCTCGTGAGCTGAGGTAACGCGATATCCTGTGTGTTTATCCGTTGCATGGTTTTGGGTGCAACCAATGTGAGTGGACAAAGCTTTGAGGAGCTTTGTACTACGTGTCCACCCATGCCGGAAATTCCGAACTTGGAACGTTCGAATGGTAGTTTCAACCTTTTCTGAACTTTCGACGAAATGGAAGTTCTTTGTGAGCCTTGATCAATCAGGGCTCTAAGTTGAAACAATTCCCCCTCGTGTTCACCTGCGACCATGGCCGTTGGAAGGAAAATTTTGCTATCATTGTCGGTGTGCAATGTACTTGTGCTTGTTTGGAACAGCACGGTTGCTCGCTGGAATTGGAGCTTGACTGCGCTTGTCGAGCGGGAGGTGTAGACTGGGCAGTAGGTAGCAAATAGATCACACGTGTCCTGGGTATTGTTGGAAACGGCCTCACCATATGACAAGATTGATGGAAAACCATTTGATTTTCTCTTAGAATTAATAAAATTCCAAAAGCTTTTTGGGTTATAGTTAAGTTCTGTTATATATATATTCTTTAAACAAGACGTTGTGCAGGCTGTCAAACTCTTTCCCCAGTTTACGATAATGCTGGTGATCTACTTCAGATCTGCTCGATCTGTATTTTTTAACGCTTTATTTTTTACATTTTTTAAGTTTCATAGCTTACGAGTTACACCGTGACGGTTTGTTATGCGTTTTTACTGTTTTTAAAGGCACGAAGCTAGAGATTGCGTGTGAGAGCTTCCCACAAAGTCTCATATGAAGCCGTTAGATCATCTGATGTGCTCAAAAACTTCCAGTCAGTTTCTTTGAAAAACTCATTAATTGCCACGTAATTTCCTTTTAAGTAACTGTATTCTTGCGATTTAGTAGTAGGTAAAGTATCGTAATCGTAGAATTTAAAATTAATTCGTATTGCTTTATGGTGCACCGTATTTCTTGAAATAGGCGCTTCACATTCTTCACAAGAAATTGTTAGATAATTGGAAGTGAATATGAGATCAAGATTTTTCCGTTATTATTTAATATTGGATTACACTGCCTACGATTATGTGAAAGTAGAATACTAATAAACAATATATCGATATCCGATTTGATGTTTGTTGGTATCAAGTTATTACTAAGGTTTGACCAATACAGGTTACTTAAGTTGAAATCGCCTAGATAAATTATCTCGTAATAATTATCAAAATCTGTTACGAGGACTAAATTATCTAAATGTTTCTGATAAATATCTAAACCACTAGTCAGGAATATATGGCAATATAAATACAATAGATTTATGATTTGAAAACATAACACTGACACAGATTTCCTCTACTTCGCTTTCAGCATTATTAATTTTGATTTCCTTGCGCTTTCAATTTCTTGCTGGGTTTATTGGAAATTATAGTGGCAGATGCAGAAGCAGGGCCAGAAACAGGGACAGCGGTAGCATTTGAGGCTGTATTTTGATCAGCTGTATTAACCAAACGAGCGACGTTAGCATAGGATACAGGTATAGCTGGAACAGCGGCGCCAGAAACAGAAGCAGCGGAAGCATGTGAGACTTTCTTTTGATCATTTGGTATAGCTGGAACATTAACAGCTTCATTAATCATTTTAGCACGTAGCAGCGTCAGAGACCCAATGCACGGTTGCCGGTATCACAGTAGACGAGTTGTCGGGAATGACTATTTGCTCAATAAGAATTGAACGACTAGCAATGTCAATAGCGGGACTAAGCGAGGCTGAAGTTATGTTAAGCGCAGGCGAGGGAGAGATAGCTTGATGCTTAGTTGTGTTGTCTGTGCACTTTTTCCTTTTACCTTTTTATCATCATGACCCCCAATTGCGTGTACACAGCCACGAGGTTCGCTAAACTCTGCCGTAACCAGCGTGCGGACAGAAGCGACATCTTCAGCATAGAGTTTATGCAAAGGTTTTATTTTTAAACGCAGTTTTAAAATTTTTGTGATCAAAAAATGTTTGTCGGCTTGCAGAGCAATAATCATGTCAATCGCACGAGTACGCTCGGATTTTAGAGCAAGAACCTCACTGATTAAAAAGGACAGAGAGATACAATTATCTTCGTTTTTATTCTCATTTCGTAGTTGACTTGTTACCGATTTAAGCACTTGTTGACGTTGCATTTTTAGATTTGGCTCTCTCATCACTACCAGAGGAAAGAGGTGGAGAACGGATGGATTTTTGGCGAGCTTCCGTAGTTATTGCTGAAGTAATTGTTATTAGAGTGAATCAAAAATTCTAAATCGGCTGGCAAAATACCAACACAATCCATAAGAAAAAAGTCGTTGCATTTCCCGCACTGCACTTTGGATTGGTTGTGATCAACTTTTTGCCCACATACACACGGCATTTTATATAAATAATTTAGTATACACTTTTAAGTTAAATATTTAATTAGAATCACTGTCTCTCAACCGTATTGATTGGTTGTTTTAAATTTGGTTCAATATGAGTCCATTTCGCATCGTAAACACTAAAAAGCCGCAGAGCATAATAATGACACGTCCGCTTTCGCCGAGCTCGCTTACTCATGTAATGAGCAATTCTGAGCATACTAATTTGTAATAGGGGTCTTCCCACCGTGCCTGGTACTCAGTAACTCGGTGGTCGGTAATTTTTCCCATGTATTTTGTTTGTGTAACATTATCTTACACAAACAAAATACTTTAGGATTTTATATGGTTTTTACACAACGTTGGAAAAGTAAGAAGCAAATAATTTAACTTTAGTTACACGTTTCAGATAATGGGCCGTATGCATAAAAACTAATCAATTGCTTTTTCTTAAAATTGTATGCCTTTCACTTAAATCTATTTGAACAATGAGTGAAAGGTCTGAAATTGTAAGGAAAAGCATTTGCTTAGTTTTTATGCATACGTCCCAATGTTTGATATGCGAAAGAAATTAATACAACAAAAAAACAATCGTTTTATGGGCACATCGCCGAGGCGTTACGTTACAATTCCGATAATAGGTTTGTTCCACACGAGCCCGCGGGTGCCCAAAACAGCCCAGAAAGCGTTCCTCACGCTAGATAAATGAGTCATAGAGAGCGAATACCTTCCACTTTTGGATCGTAAATGTCTTCTTCTGCCCGAAACAGCCCGGACTTTTTTTCCGGACAAAAATGTCAAAAGAGTCAATTTGAAATAACAGCTGTTGGTACATCCGATAGCAAATTTTGTAAAATGCAAAAATGGAAAATAGCACTAAAGGTTCAGAAATGTAGGTATTTGCTAATTTTATTAGCTATATAAGATAAATACACATAAAAGTGGTTTTTTGCGTTCCCCACGCTCTGGGTACTTTTGGCACGGGTTGACACATTTATGACACTTGTGAGAGAGTAACTTATTTTTACGCTCTAATTACCGAAACAGCCCGGAAAGCGTGAGGAACAAACCTCCAATTTCCCCTACCTGGGTCCGCCACTGTCTCTGAGTGCTCTTAAAAAATCGAAAGAGTACTTTGATGGCTTTATGAGCTCTGTTTTTTAAAACTTGCAAGTGTGTAATCACATGTATTTAATAAATAGAACAAAAGAAGATATTTTATTTTTATTTTTGCCACTCCGAATTTAGTTTTGGAATTCACCCGCGATGCAAATTTACATCTTTAGATCTAATCTTCACATTTTTTGATGAGCTTTATATATATATTTATATGTTAGAAATGTAGCAGCAGGGGGCCCATCGAAACCATACAAGTTTTGAAAAGTTTGGGAACCTCTGATCTATGGTAACGCACTCCGAGCCGTTTCGCGTGTTTACCTCCCTGCAGTGAAAAATTATCATTTGTTAAAAATAACAACTTGTAATTAGCTTTTTGGTGGGATATTAATAAATACCTCTCGTTTATTTAGCTATTACAAAACCAACTTAAAGTGAGTTGTAAAGTCGTTCGGGAGTTTGTTTTCAAAGCATATTGATTTGATTACATTTGAATACATTTTTTTCTGCACTTCACAAATCCTTTTTCGAATTCAGGACAAATAAAATTAAGTTCGAAATTTTATATTATCCTTTTGATGTTATGTCTTACGGAATTACAATATAGGGCCACCTACTGCAGAACAAATATGCAATGTGGAATATAAATTAAATAAAAATAAATAAAAATAAAAATAAATATAAAATTAACAAAATGTTTCTTATTGATATTTTATGTCGAAAAGTTGTTAGTTACAAGTTAGTTAGCATGTATTGCAGAGGTATCCAGATTTTTACACACATTGCAATTGAGTACGGACGTGTTCTTTATTCGCTCCTTAACCCTAGACCGTCATCCTTCGCACGATGTTATTTTCATTGTTACTAAGTTTTTATTGTTCCGTGAAGTATTAATTTTAAGTTTAAAGAATATATCTTTCGTTTTTAATTTTGAGTTTTCATTGTTAATGAAATAAATAAAACAATAAAATCAATTTTTGCTCACAATCCATTTAATTTCGATTTCAAATTAGTTGTCGTCAAAATGACGAAGGATGACGTTAATGTACAAAAAATAAGGATGACTGTCCAGGGTTAAAAAATCATACTTTTCGTGTAACTAAAAATATTTAACCATCGAAAGACACACTAAACTCATTATTCGAGTTTTGTGTCGTCGCGAACTGCCCTCAGCAGTATAAAAAATGAAAGTGTGATCGCGAAAAATACCTAAATAAACAATAAGACATTGTGTGTATCAAAATAAATAAATTATTTTTTACATACAAAATACGAACGGTAGTTAAGTGAGAGATGAGTGTCCAGGGCACTCCCCTACAAGAGCGCAGACACTCAATCCAAAGCGCAAGCAAATGAAATGCATATTTGACAATTACTGCATGCAGCCCAAAAAGCTAAACCAGCAACAACAACGCCAAAGAAAACTCTTTTACTGCTAACACACCATCACAAACCAAGGCGAATTTAATAAGGTGGTGTTAGGCCGACAACTGAGTTTTTCGCCGTGGATACCATTACGACAAAGTGATGTGTTT